TCGGAAGCAGAGAAAACAGCGGAACGGCCGCGCCCCGCCCCCGGGAAGCAAGGATCTCAAAGCAGCTTGCACATGGGAACGAGTCGTGCCTCACAACCCCTGCTAACCGGCCAGTAGGCAGCCACAGCCCCCGCTTGCAGGTCCAGAAACGAAGGCACAGAAAGGCTAAGTGACTTGACCAGGGACACCCTGCAAGTCACTTGTCAGAGCTGGGGAAACAATCCCGAGTCCCTGACTTACAGTCTTTGCCCTAATTTCTAGGCTACACGTCCTCTCTGCGCATGCTCTGAGTGGGGACCCAGTTTCAAGGAATGGACCCACTCCCAGAGCACGCTGGGTTGCCGGATCCTAGCCAGCTCCTGATGGCCCCTAGCCCCCGACTCACTTTCTCCCCACTGCCGACGCTCGAAATGTCAGACAGGACCCAAGCAGCAGCCAGGATGTGTTTCAAACACACCAGATGGATTTTTATATTAGCTACTATTTCATGTTCAGACAGAGCGACCGCACCACTAAAACTGGAGCCACGACACCACCGAGTTTGCTTCGATGAGATTAATTCTGGGAAATTAATTGGGACAAGATTGAAAAGGAAATTAAAATGCAGCTGAATGAACAGGCTTTGCAAACACCTTTTCTCTCCCCCCCATCCCCCCTGCCTTCGGGTTCTGCTGCGGCCGCGGGCCTCCATCGTGTGAAGTAATTTACGAGAGGGAGGCTCTCAGGACTAATTGGTTACGTGTGAGGAAGCCAGCACAAGAGTCACAATCTGGAGCCACTGAAGAGAGTTAAAACCCTGCCAGGGCGCCAAGCTGCCTTCCCTGGGCGGGGTCTGAGGGCAGGAGCAGGGCAGAACACCCTGTGGGAAGTCAGGAGGGGTTGACCCCGGTGTAGCGCCATTGCTGTCCCTGTGCACCCCGGGTCTTGGCAAGGTTAAAACTCTGGCCATCGGCTTTGTGCTGCCAACAGGACCCTGGGCAAGTTGCTTCCGCTCGCTGCGCCTCCCCCATTACTCGTTGGCAAAGAAGAGCGGAGGTCCCTGAGCCTCTTTTGTTACGTGCGTTGAGAGCCCCCGATGGAAAGGGCCAAGAACTGCCACCACAAAGACCCAACCAGCCCAGCACAGAGCAGCCTGCGGTGCAATTAAAGCCACCAGCGCCCCCTGTTCAAACAGAGCTAGAAGGTCACGCGGGGCCGCAGTGACAGGAGGCGTTCAAAAGCAGAGGACAGGAACCCCCTGGGCTCCTATAGGTTCCTGGCGTCCTGTTGGGCCGTTCTGCTCGGCAGGGCGAGCCCCTGTGCGGATCCCGTTGGCTCCGAGTCAGGGCTCTGCACGAGCCCCCGCATCCCCTTCGGATCCGACCGGGGTCAGCGACGCACGGACCGTTCTCATGGACGCAATAGGGAGAAAGACGCACTCAGCAGCTCCCACCCGGAATGGCCAAATTCTGCTCGACCGCGCCCTTGTCTGTTTCCTAGCCCGTCCCCGAGGGATCAGGGCTGACTCACTTCCACCCTAGGAAAGATCCGCGGGGCAATTCGGGCCCTGGGTCACAGCGCCTGCGCTTCATCCCCACTGCCCAGAGAGCCAGACTTGGAGAGCAGGGACGGCGTGGGACTCAGTGCCAGACGGAAAGAGGAGTTGCGGGGCTGGAGGAGGAGGAGGCGGGGGCGCCGTGGCTCAGCTGCGGCAAAAGCCAGCAGGGAGCTAGTTAAAGAGCATGCTGGGCCTTGGTTTGCCATAGAACTGCGCGTTCCTTTCCCGCTATATGGTGCTTCCTGCACAACCCATGCAGCCGGCATAGCTACTCCACCAATACACCGGGCCCCGCTCCGGCAGAGTCCTGCCTAACCCCCTCCTGCAGCCTGGGAGACTCTGAAAAGAAAGCAAAGCCCGGGGGGCCCTGTGACGTAGTGCGGGTACCTTGCTGGTTGCTAGGCTGGGGCTGTGGGTGACCCCCACTGGCTGGTGCCCGGAGCACGGCCCAGCAGAGGAGCTGATGGGACAGGGAGGTAACCTGTCTGACCAGTTACCTCCCAGGGAGAGGAACAAAGGAAGGTGGAATGCAGCCCTGGCTGGGAGGCAGGGCTGGAAGGTTCGTTTAGTTTCTGTCTGGGATCATGGAGGAGATAGCCTAGGGAAGGGGCTGGAATTTAGGGGCCCAGTCTCCCCCATCTCAAGAGGGGCTGAGGCATCCTAGGCCTGCCCTGCAACCAGATTACATCTGTGCTGTATCCTGGAGAAGCAATAAACTCCCTCTAGTCTACTGGCTGGTGGAGTCTGTTCGTGCCACTACAGGGGTGCAGGA